AGTACTGTCAATGTCTTTAAAACTTTCATTATTTATTTGTTGTGTCGCGATGGTTTGGCGATGCAATTATTAGCCATTTAGTTTAAATTTCAATATAGGTATAAATTCTGCAGTATGACTTGCTACACAGCTTTTTCACAGTGAGAGTAGTCACAAGCATTTTAGTGGAAATGTCCATGACTGAACAATGTTGTGGTTTTCCGAAGATTTCTGATAATTACGAAAAGTTCTCTATTGCGAGATTTAAGCAGTATATTATTCACAGCATTTTTGTGTAACATGAAGCAATTAATATATTATAAAAAACGAAAGAGCAGAAAAATTTTTAATTAGAAGGAATGGTACATTACTACCCGTATTCTATCTACACTATCCGTGGTTTGATAGCTGGTAAGAACGCTGGACTTTATCTGGATGCCATTTTACATTGGACATCATGTGATTCAAATGAAAACAAAAATCTGACACAGTTGAATAGCCCTGCATTTATGATTAGAAATGTAAGGCATTGAGATACTATGAACAGTTTTGTTTTTGCTGTCAAGATTGTTGATTTGATAATTTAATGGAATTTGATGAAGAAATTAGGCAAGTCACTTCAACCCTTTAGGTGTTAGGTCCACAATGAAATTTGCACTTTTTCGTGAAAAGTTTGTTTTGCACACAACACCAAGAGAAGTAAGCAAGAAATCATCAGTTAACCTTGATGATTGCTTTCTAAATACTTTGCACCTGCACCACTATAAACGAATTCATTTTCTGTTAACACTAATCTTAACTCGAGCTCTTTATCAGCCAGATCATTTGACAAAACTTTGTCGCAAATATTTTTATTTTATTTTGAATATAATGACCAAATTTCATAGAACATGATATTGCTAACAGATTAAATTGATTTCCAATCCTGATCAATATCTGCTTTATTTTTTTACAGTACTGTTTGTGGAAGGTATATTGGATGCACTATGCAAACCTGTTTAAAACAAAAACACATTTATCCACTATTTGTAAATGCAGTTTTCAATTCCAATTTTGTACTAAATTATAGAGAATCGTTACTAGGAATGTCTGCAAGCAAAACAAAATCACAAAAGGCGCTGATACTTCATCTAAAAGACTCAAGTGACTTTCTTTTGTCAAGAAAATGTTACTCTCATCATTGTACATTTTGATGTCATCAGTCATGCAATACAAGTATTCCTCTCTCCTCATGTAGAAACTACACTATGGTAAACAAATGTCATTGGCAGTGCAACAGCAACAAAAATATGATCTATATTCTAATATTTTGAAAACTCATGAGGTATATATTATCTCATTTTCAAAAGTATTAGACAGATGGTTTGGAATCGACTCCCTCATTTATCAAACAAACAGTATGTGTAGTTATTAAGAAAAAAATATATGGACTCAAGAGGGCTTTTTGTTGCCACTAGAGGGCGAGTGCTAAATAAATAGTCATTTCACTTATTTTGAATGGTTAATCAAACTGGTTTGTAAGTATTTACAAAACTTTTTCTAAAATTATACAAGGTCATGAGAATCATGAAAGACAACCAACCTGTACATGAGTTTATTAACCATGCTGAATTTAGTAGCATTTTCTCTCAACTGACGGTTCTCAAACACAAAATACAAATTACTGCTGGTCTGGTAATTTTAATGAGATCAAAATTTGATATCTTACAATCATAGGTCAAGGGTCAGTTACTAAATCCAATATGGCTCCTAACAAATCAAAAACAAGTTTGTTTTTTCAGGAAGGGGGTATTTTTGTTTTATTGTCACATACAGTAAATTATGACAAACATTAGTAAATATATGGGCAGTGACAATAAACCTTTGAAATTGACAAACATACAGATAATGAAATAGTATCAGAAACATGCACTGTACATTAATGTAATACATTCCTATAGTAAATTAATTTTAAACATTTCTTCTATGAATTCTTAATACATTCATTTTGATTATATTTTTTCTTCTTATAATATAATTGATGGAGGGCTAGGGAGTTCACTAGTAGCTAATTTAACACAATTCTAAACCTTTGAACACCATGATTTCCTTGGCAAAATTTGGTGAAACATTTTGCACATGTTGTGTAATTTTGTAACATTTCTTTGTCAATTTTTGACCAACTGAATATAACTTTCATTGTTTACAGTTTTTGATCAAAATTTGTAAAAGAATATGGGAAAATTGTGCAGGTTCATTTTGTGAACGACGACACAAGTTTAATTTGGCATTCAAAAAGTTAACAACTCCCTATAACTACTCTGTTAAAAAATCAACGTGAGAAGCAAAAAAACGACATATCATTAAAATATTAAAATTACATATCATTAAAAGATTAATTTTATGTACCACACACTCAATAATAATCGACAAAAGTCAAAATGTCACCACTTATTTGCATATGGGGAGCCATCTTTACAAAGACTACATGTTCATGCTTTATTTGTCGCTGCCAAACGATTTTTTTTTATTTAAAGTTACCGGTACAACTGTGATTTCACCACAGTAGTTTAATATTAAAAAAGCATGGCCAGATTTCCAGATTCAAGATTTTCAGACCTTTATACACCCAGTACTATGTGCTGATGGCATTATAATTCTCCCTTCCCCCAGTCGAAAATTCAAAAAGAATAAAATAAAATGCACAAAATTTGTAAATCAATTCTCTGCATGAAGCTACAACAGATTGAATGTAATTAGTTTAAAACATGACTGTTACACTATAACATGTATTTAAAATTCTCATGTTTCAGACATTAACAAATTTTTGCTTCATTAAAATTAACTAAGATACTATGGACACTCAGTTTCAAAGTATGCAGAAAGACCTCAAAATTTATGCAGAAAGCCCTCACAAGATATGAAGAATGTCCTCACAAGCTAGGCAAAACATCCTTACAAACTGGGCAAAAGTCCTCACAAGGTATACAGAATGTCCACATAAAGTATGCAGAACATTCTCACGAGGTATGCAGAAAATCTCACAAGGTATGAAAAACGTTCTCAGAAGATATGATAAACGTCCTCACAAGGTATGCAAAACGTCCTCACAAGGTATGCAAAACGTCCTCACAAACTGGGCAAAACGTCCTCACAAGGTATACAGAATATCCACACAAAGTATGCAGAACATTCTCACGAGGTATGCAGAAAATGTCACAAGGTATGAAAAATGCCCTCAGAAGATATGAAGAACATTCTCACAAGGCATGCAGAACTTACACACCAGGTATGTAAAATGTCCACACAAGGTATGCAGAACTTCCACACAAGGTATGCAGAACGTCCTCATAAGGTATGCAAAACTTCCACACAAGGTATTCAGAACATTCACACAAGGTATGCAGAACTTCCACACAAGGTATGCAGAACATTCACACAAGGTATGCAGAACTTTCACACAAGGTATGTAAAATGTCCTTACAAGGTATGCAGAACTTGCACACCAGGTATGTAAAATGTCCACACAAGGTATGCAAAACGTCCTCATAAAGGTATGCAGAACTTCCACACAAGGTATGCAGAACATTCACACAAGGTATGCAAAACGTCCTCATAAGGTATGCAGAACTTCCACACAAGGTATGCAGAACTTTCACACAAGGTATGCAGAACTTTCACACAAGGTATGCAGAACTTTCACACAAGGTATGCAGAACTTTCACACAAGGTATGCAGAACTTTCACACAAGGTATGCAGAACTTTCACACAAGGTATGTAAAATGTTCACACAAGGTTTACAGAATTATCCCACAAGTTATAGTTTCTTTACAAAGTATGCATAGTACATTTGATTTACATGGTTAAGATTAGTTTGATATTATTACTAATGACAAAACATGTAAATATAATCAAAATTGTTTTTTTCATCACATTTAAATTTTATGAAATGACAGTGAGAAAAAATGCAAACTTTTTGAAGATGTTATTTGTGTATTTGCAATCTATTTGTTACCAGAGTGTCGCCTATCATTATGATTACCTATCACAATCATGATTAAGTGTAATTGAACACACAATAACAACAGTGATTGTTTAATCACAATCATAACTGGACAAAAAAAACATACCCCAGAGTTATCTCAGAGTGCTCTTAACAAAATTACTCCAAAACTGTACAGATAATATAGTCACATCTTTGAATTTGAAAAGAGGGCAAAAATTGATTTTTCTCTTGTCTCAAATGTATAGGTATTTAATGTTTTAAATAAAAAAAATGAAAACTTCAGATTAGTTTCATAAAATTCTAGCCTCATTACTAAATAAATTTATATTCAGATTACAAACACAGAATAAAACCACTTTAAAAATATTCACAATTTCATTTTTTTTCTTGCATGAACAGAGGTTACTCAAGAGTAAGAAATGTCTGATGAAACAAAAAGTGATAAAATGTATGAAAATGGTAGAAAACAATCCATATAATCAATGAAACACTTGTTATATTCATTTAAAAGATTCTGAAAATCTAAAACTATTTTTCTATAGTTTGCATAGCTACTAATATTTTCTCAGTTTTCCTGCAATATACATATTAACTCTATTCTACAATTTCTGTAAAATGTTATAGAATTTGTTACGTGTGCATTACCAACTGAAATCATTATTCAGTTACATACTTCAGCCTCATAAAAAATCATGCCTCTTATTGGCTAACAGCCCTCAGGTGACACAAACTCATCTGCATATTTAATCATGTGACCATCAATAAATTTGCATAAATATATAATATGGTTAATATTCATAATATATATCATAGTTCTCACACTGTACAAGTTAACATTCAAACAATACTGTATTCTTCTAATATTTATAATTCTTTACAAACAAAAGGTTATTGAATTCAGGTTAAAATCAACACTGAATCTCCTGCCAGAGCAATTCTATTTTTTAATACTCACACTGCAAACTGAAAAAAATTGATCAAAAAATTATCACTTTGACCTCCTGATCCTCGACGTCACAACTAACCCTTCACCTTTGACCATGTCACTATGACTTCCAACCTCTGGCATTATTGCTACAATATTCTTTCTGACTATAAATACCATTCCAAAGTCAGCCACGCTACTATGCAATTATCGAGTACTACATGATGTAGTGAGTGAAAACATTCACATATTCCATATTCACACATGGTGTGCATTACCATTTTATATAACTGATTCAGTGTCCTTGGCCTTCGTGTCATTCAACTTATCTTGCGAATTGGCCTTGCTCCCGCTGGGGTTCAATTTCTGCATTTCTTCGGCATCTCCAATCTCATTCGTCATTTCATCTACATGTTTCCCAGCATTCATTTCAGCGTCCAGTGCATCAGCTTTCTTCAACTCATCTCTGGATAAATGCTCGACAATACCCGCTCCATATGAATCTCCCAACACATTAATGGAGGTACGGAATCGATCTCTGAAAACATAGTATCATAATCCATATTAGGTATTTATCTTCAACAGGTTCTTTTGAAAACAGATGAGATTTTCACCTGAGTGCACAAATCTCTTCAATATACAAGATTTGAGTTCCCTCATCGAGTTCCTTGGGTGCATTATTACTAACACATTTATGACAGAAAGTGTGTGTGTATATGCGAGTGTGTATATAGGGAATGTCAACAACAAGAGCCTTTTTGTTTCACTTTTTCAAAAGCTAGCTGAATTGATTCACTTGTACATTGCCCCCATAGATATCAATATTTTACTAAAATCAGACTAACTTGGTGATTTTAGAATACAAGTTAAATTAGAACACATTATGGATGCCTAATATACAGAATCATCATGCTCAGAACAAAAATAATATAAAATATCTGCCAGATTTCAGCGAATGAAAGTGTGTAAAGCTGATTGTCGAATTGGCCGATTTTAGACACTTGAAAATGTTACTTACAGAAGCCAATCAACAGTCCACAGTAAAGTGACATCTTCAGCTGGTAGACCAGCAGCCTGCAACACTATAAACATAGTAACTAACCCAGCACTAGGAATACTGGCAGCACCTACACTGGCTAAAGTGGCAGTTAAACTGAAAAAACAAAAAAACATAGCACATGTAACAACTGTCTGCAAACTGACAGCACCAACACAAAATTTTTCTAGCTAAAATATTTTATTCATTTCCCTAGAATTTCTTTATTAATTTTATGTGGCTAAAAATGATTCATGTCATAACAAAGTCACTGTTGGTTTCAGTGAAAAACAAAACTGAAATGAGTCAGCCATTTTGAATCATAACATGAAATAAATTACATAATGTATAACGTTGTTTCAATGCAAGTTCAATTGCGATGAGTCAATGTGTTTCAGAGAAATTAGAACAGTATTTGCAACTTAGCCAAAATAAAAAGCATGATCATTTAAACACTGCTATTACAAAACCAGGTAGGAGGTATTACATTTGGGGCGAAAGTATTCAAAAATCAGTTTTTGGTTATTACCCATGGCAGCGGTGGGTCAGGAATTTTTTCCAATTACTGATGGTATGACCTGCCTGCCAAGTGTGAACAAAAAAATCACAGAAGTGTTGAAAAGCCATTACTGCTGAAAATTTACCCCAAAATTGAGAACAAATTTCTTGTTAATGAAAAAAGATATCAAAAAATGAAATAGTAACTTTGTGCCTACACTCAAGCTGAGTAGAATGAGCTATGTCTCCAAGGTGTTTATTCCTGAATTTGTAGGAGGAGATACATTTGGTGCGAAGATATTAAAAAATCAGTTTTTTGGTTGCTACTATGGCAATTTTTATGGTGGGCCAGAATTTTTTTTTCAGATTTTACCTCCTGACTAGAGTGAAGGTGTGACTGGCCTATCAAGTTTGAGCAAAATCAGCCGAGCCAAGAAAATCACAGAAGAAATAATATGTGAAAGAAATCACAGAAGAATTAATACGTGAAAACACTAGTACTGGAAATCACACACAGACACACACAAAAGTGATTTTAAGGGCAATCCTAGTGGAGCGGGTCGTCAATCATTGTTAGTGTGGTAGTGAAATAAAAACAAAATCCCTTATGATCTTGCCTGTGGTGGCGCTATTATAAGTATACCTACCTGATAGTCACAATTTGTCCAGCACTCAGTTCCATCCCATTCATTTGCGCAATAAAGATGGCGGCCACTGCTTCATACAATGCAGTACCGTCCATGTTCACAGTGGCCCCAATAGGTATCACAAAACGAGTCACCCTTTTGTCAACTTTATTTATTTCCTCTAGACAACTGAATGTTACAGGTAAAGTTCCAGCACTAAAAAGATACAAAAGAAGGCAGACAAAATTACTTCTGCAGCTGAGATGCGAGTATCCTTTGGTTAATACATGTATCAGTAAATAGGATTCATCTTTTTGAAAATTAATTTGATTTCATTGCAGGATTTACAATGATATAATCTAATACTTGACATGAAAAATTCATTTTTCTGGTATTTATAAATAATAGCTTATGTTCTATTCATGAAAGTTACTTCCATTAGCTTTTTAACTCAACCATTTATAGGATCAATGAGCTGACTAGCATGTTTCACAATAACAGTTACATAAAACCATGCTAATTGTCACTAAGTTTTTGAAGGAAACAAAATGAATCCGGAAACATGTTTTTTTTTTGCTACAAGGTATTATCAATATCTACAGTAACATCCAACCTATACACAAACAGCACCAACAGTAATGTCTATAAAATTACAATAGATGGTATAGATGAGATATTATCAATATCTACAACATCAGCCACTCTAGCAGAAGACACACAGACAGCACCAACGGTAATGTCTATCAAATTACAATAGATGGTATAGATGAGATATTATCAATATCTACAACATCAGCCACCCTAGCAGAATACACACAGACAGCACCAACGGTAATGTCTATCAAATTACAATAGATGGTGTAAATGAGATATTATCAATATCTACAGTAACATCCAACATATACACAAACAGCACCAACAGTAATGTCTATAAAATTACAATAGATGGTGTAGATGAGATATCAATATCTACAGTAACATCCAACATATACACAGACAGCACCAACAGTAATGTCTATAAAATTACAATAGATGGTGTAGATAAGATATTATCAACATCTACAGCAACAGTCAACCTAACAGAATACACACAGACAGCACCAACAGTAATGTCTATAAAATTACAATAGATGGTGTAGATGAGATATTATAAATATCTACAGCAACAGTCAACCTAACAGAATACACACAGACAGCACAAACAGTAATGTCTATAAAATTACAATAGATGGTGTAGATGAGATATCAATATCTACAGTAACATCCAACATATACACAGACAGCACCAACAGTAATGTCTATAAAATTACAATAGATGGTGTAGATGAGATATTATCAACATCTACAGCAACAGTCAACCTAACAGAATACACACAGACAGCACCAACAGTAATGTCTATAAAATTACAATAGATGGTGTAGATGAGATATTATCAATATCTACAGCAACAGTCAACCTAACAGAATATACACAGACAGCACCAACGGTAATGTCTATAAAATTACAATAGAATCGTATATTGTTAATTCCTTATAAAGCAAATAAGCAGTATTTTCTAGTTTTCAGTTGTCCTTAGCTTTCTGACATGAACAACCTCATAATTGTTGGGTTGGCGTACAATAAATTTCGCATTTTACAGTATATGATGAATTATGACAACAAAACAGTGTTAACATATGAATTAACGCTTACCTTGACGCAGTACCAAGAGCTGTTATCAAAGCCCATAACATATTGACGAGGTATGTGTAAGGATTTCTCCGGGTAATGGCGAAAAATAATAATGGCAGAACAACTAATCCATGAATGAATAATCCTACTAGTACAGTTAACATATATAATCCAAGCTGTGATAAGACTCCAGCTAAGTCATCCATTTCTAACAGCTTAGCAGCAATTAAGCTCATGATACCAACTGGAGAATACCTGAAAAATAAATCAGTGAAAGTATTGAAAATATTTCTACTTCCAACTGTGAGGGCGTCCTCACTAATATCAAGCAGATTTATAATGTTGAGTCAAAACATCTATATTTATTGAATTTGATACGTCAAAAAACCTGTCAACAAACAAGCTGCTCTCTGATTGGTCTGACTGTTAGGTGTTAGGGTTGGGTAGCCAATCAGGCACAAGCTTGTAAGTAGTTTCGCATGGACTCTATTAGACTGGCCCAGTCGGGGCGATTAAATTGTTTTTGTAGTTTAAATAAAATAAAAAATTTAGCGAAATCACCCCAACTGGTTTATTCTGCATGGCCCTCTATTGACACTGCAGGACCCCATCGATTTTTCAACGGGTAATTATGTTAATGAGTGTTGTAATTGACAATCATCTATTAAAGCCAATCACAACGTCTCTTCAACTGACCTCTGACCGAGAAGACGTCAGCTGATTGCAGCAGCCGATTTTTTTTTTAATTCAACGACTAGTACAAGTTACTTTTTTACACATTGTGATGAATTAGAAAAATAAACTTGAATTTCAACTTGCTGCCATGTTGGGTCTGCAGTGTGACCTTTGCCAGGTTGACCTCATTATGTACGTATTTGTGCGCCACCTCATTATAATATGTGCATTCATGAATATTTAATAGCAATGAATTTCCTGCAGAATAAACCAGTCGGGGAGATTTCGCGCTAACACCTCCATTTCGCGAAATTAATCGCCCTGACTGTGCCTGTCTAGGACTCTATTTATGTACAACCATAGAACTGTTATTTTGGTTTGCTAAAATGTATTTTTAATTTCTTTGTAAAATAAATTGTACAATGTGAAGATTTCACTGGGGTCATTATAACAGGTAGTAGCAACAGAGTAGGATTGTTAAGACACAGTAGTCACAATGAAAAATTCACTGGGGGTGTTTTGACAAAGCAATCACAGTGAACATTTCAGTGGGGTAAGACAAGATGGTGACTATACCCTTAAATCATCATTTCCCAAAAATATCCACCTTCGGAATTTTAATAAATTATCATAATGCGCTTACCACATGACCATTAACACCATCTTCATAATGATTTCATTCAATGCAAAGAAGAAGTCCATCATGATCTGAGCTTTCTTACCAGTTTTGGTCATGATAATGCCAAACCAGATAGTGAAAATAATAATACCTATGGAAAAAAATCATGAAACAAAGTGTGGTTATAGAGTGATGTTAAGAAATACAATGTGCGACTACAATGCAGAAAGTATGAAGGCTCACTGGCCCTATAACACAATAAATAATTTCTGAAAAGAAGACTAGAAGGTATGACTTTTGGCATCAAAGGGGATGTCCGGTGCACCCTCAAACATAACAGATGTTGTAGGAATGCTGAATCAAAATTGAATTCCTGAAATCAAGATGATTCAGCTAGAGAGGTCAGCTTTTGAAAAATAAAATAAAATAAAATTATATGTGGCTGTTTATACATGTAGGTGACTTTAAATGCAAATAAAAATGTGGTCTCTGGTTTCATTCATTTTTACATCTGCCAGTATGTTGTTTTTTTCATTTGTGAATTTCATTTTATTAAATGACACATTCTATTACGTTAAGATATTTTTCAAAATCACTGTCTAATTTGTCATAATTATTGTGCCAGTACAATTGCATGACAATTAAGTTGCATCACAGGAAATATTTGTGCATCAGTGCTACGCCATATCAGCTTAGAGGGCACACTGTGCGTGTTATACATGTGACCTCTGACCTCTGACAATACTAGGATGTAGGACCTCAAAGGTTGTGATGCATGACTTAGGTCACACCTGAATACCTTAGTTGTAAACTACTTACCAAGTACATTCATACCATCAACCCACAGTACCTCACCATAGTCTTCTTGCCCAACCACAACTTTAACTGTTTCTTGTACATATGAAATATTTTCGCCTTCCATAGATTCCACATAGTAAACTCCTTTTTGTTCATTTTCTGTGAGATTTGCAATCTCAGTTGCATTTATTGTTTTGTTGACTATTTGATCTTCTGTTATATTTCTAAGCTTGTACACTGTTTTAACCTTTTAAGCAAAAGAAACAATTTATTAAACGATATGTACATACCTATGTCTATGTATAAAGTTGTGTCATCCTTTCTGTTTCAGTGCAATGTCATCATTGTTTACATTTATAGTAAGTGGTGTCTTCATTTGTAATGTAACATATATTAAGTTGTGTCATCATTCCTTGTGTTTCAATGCAAATGGTGTCATCATTCCTTGTGTTTCAATGCAAATGATGTCATCATTCCTTGTATTTCAATGCAAATGATGTCATCATTCCTTGTGTTTCAATGCAAATGATGTCATCATTTATTGTGTTTCAATGCAAATGATGTCATCATTCCTTGTGTTTCAATGCAAATGATGTCATCATTCCTTGTATTTCAATGCAAATGATGTCATCATTCCTTGTGTTTCAATGCAAATGATGTCATCATTTATTGTGTTTCAATGCAAATGATGTCATCATTCCTTGTGTTTCAATGCAAATGATGTCATCATAAAGAAGAAGTGAAATATACCACCATTAATTCTAGGTCTAGATATCATTCTGTTAAATACTTTTTATTATTTGCCAACTGTTATTCCTTTAATGACTAAATTAAAACCGAATATGCAAGTATAATCGCAAAACTAAAAACAAATTTGTTGAAATTAAACATATATTTTGCCTTGCGATCTTCACAATATATTTAGACATACAGAGTGTGAAAATAAAAAGTAAAACAACATACCTGTTGAAAGCAAGCTTGTACAATGTTGGAAGGAAAGAAATTTCTGGAAAAAAATAATAAACATTGAGCTTTTATGGGAAGCACATTTCAATGAAAGGGTGAATAAACAAAAAATTTGTAAACTAAATCATTTAAATATGAATTATCTATCATTTTTGACCATTGAAATACCTCTGCACAACTAGCACAGTACCGGGAAAAAGATGAATAATAATAAATAAGGTAACTTATCTATTACGAGGATACAGCAAAGTAAGCACTCTTGCAGTACAGGGTAGACTACTATGCAGTGATCAATATGATGTTCACACCACCTTCATAATCTCATACTATTATTTATATTATGAACAATTTCACTCACAGTGTTGTCCATAATGTTATTTTTTCTATTAACAGTACCTGATTAAGTCAAGGAATGCATCCAGTGGATCCACTTTAGGTTGTTCCTCGTCTTCTAAATCCTCCTTAAGATCTGGGTTGCCGGGGTGAATAACCACAACTAGTATGATACCCAAAATGGCTGCCATAATGGTGGTTAGAAAGTAATAGGCTAAGGCACGGCTACCCATTTTGCCACTTGATTTTGCATCTAAACTTCCGAGTCCTGAAACCAGAGAATGAAATAATTACACACTGCAATATGACTATAAGAATACTGTAAATGCATTACTTATTCACTTGATTTCAACTTTATTATCGTCGCTGTTAATTAAAACTCGCTAAATTAAATACATGTGAACAAATAACAATAGAATTGTTTTCCTGATTAATTTTGAACTACCGATATTACAGTGAATATGGTCAAAAAAACAAATTACTGAAATTGTGTTCATTTTACCCATCCTGTACAAAAAAACAATATGTTACAATTGTTTTATAATTTTATTTATTTAATTTTTAATCAGAGCTGCATGAGTTACAAATAAAATATGTAATTACATAAATTGGATTAAGTAAAGATGGAACATAGGTTATCTGACAGATAATCTTGCAGTTATACAAATGTACTTTCTTAAATGGGAGATTTATGTTTACATTAAGCTGTATTTATGACGCAATACATTTGCATAGTCACGCATGCTTTGAACAAGGTCAGATTCGCTTGCCTTTTTGTTTTAGTCAGGTCGTGCGTCTCGACCTTCTCTCATTATTACTACAGTTTCAACCCTTCATTATGAAAAATAACCAAACCACCAATAACAGAGGTTGCAAACGCTGTGCAGTTGTTATGACACCAGACGCTGAAGTTCACTTTCATGCTACATATATTAGTGACATAAGCAGTCAGAAATTCTATGTTTTGTTGTGGAGTTAAGCTGGCAAACAAACATGTATAAGTACCTACAATTGCATCAAAGTTGTATCAGTTATTGAATATATCACGGCCATTAGATTTGTTCATGCTATTGAGTGTGTGGCACACTTAACTAGGGTATGGTATGAATTAATTGCTCTCTATTTCGGTGTTCAAAATCAAGTAGGATTAGATTTTGGGTCTATCGTACATGGAAGATGGCAATAGATATTTTGTGCTGGTTGCATCTTTTGTATTTTATAATTTAGATTAATTTAGTGATTATAATGTAAATCATTTTATTAGAACTTTTACTTGGAAATACTTATTACTATCTTATACCACTAGAGGGCGCTGTAACAATAAACTTCATTCAAGTTATTTTGAGAAACCAAAAGTGAATTGATACTAGCCATAGAAATCAAAAGCTGTATAATGAAATTTACAGAAAACATTACAGCACATTGTAACGCAGCATCTTATACAATCTCTTCATGCCAAGTTTCGGTCCACACTTTTACAAGTATGCTTTTCTTAGCAACCATAACTCGATAACGACATGGGCCCAGAAACTTACCAGAAATCAAACTAGAGATGATGAGCGGTAGGATCAGCATCTTTAACATTGTCATCAAGAGTGCTCCAGGGAAACCAATCAACATAATGGCTCTATCTGATGGATCTGCTGCACGTATCGACAAACCAAGTATGATTCCGAGCAACACACCTAGCACAGTAAGTACAAGTAACAGATTTAATCTGCACCAATCCAGTACTTTCATGTACCATGGCTTTACTGTAAGTATGCTATGACTCGTGGGACCCGACTCAACGTCCGCCATCTTAATTTGGTCTCTTTAAATTGGTCTCTCACTAGACGTTTGTTGAATTTTTCAGCTGATTCTGTTGCACCTACAAAGAAATAAAAACAGAATTCAATTATTGTTTGTTATAACAAAGTGAAGGAAGTTATTTTAAAATTGACATGACACACTAGCAACAATCATACAAAAAACATAGCATAATTAGTGAAACCTTGCCCTTGATGGTAATAAGTTTAATAAGCTGTTTATTCACATGGCGCCATTTTGTGTCTCTAAGATATACTTATGGAATGGGTCATAAGCTTGAAATTATAAAAAAAAGCAATTCGGTAACATAAAATAAATGTTGTATTTCCAGTAACTCTACTGACTACCCATATGAAACATGAGAAGTTTATATTCATTTCACCAATGTTTTATTTCATTATCTACCTTCGGTGTAAAAATGAATGTCACATTCAAGAAACTTAGGGGACATTTTTTTATATCTGTTTTACGATTTTGATTTAATGTGGAGTCTTCAAATTAAAGTGTGTGGTGTTATTTGCATCAAGGTTTTTCATGTGATCAAAGCTCAGTGAACCATATCTACATATGTCCACAATCTAAACAGTCATCATGTTGATATTCATAGCAGAACAAGAGCTGCAATGATTCAGATGTGGTAAAGTAACTGGTTGCCTTAGGAGAATTTGCAGAATATTCTGGCCAGTGATCATCTCCTTTATAGGCAAACACATTCTAAGGACATTATTATTGAAATTAATAGCCGAAGACTGAGATGGTTGGGTCATGTTCTTAGAATGCCACAAGACTCAATCCCCAAAACAGCACTTCGCTGGACACCACAGGGTCAACGAAACAGAGAGAGGCCATAAAACACATGGAGAAGAACCATTACCACAGAACTTGCCCAAGCAAACCTGACCTGGAGTAGTGCAGAAATGGTGGCCAAGGATAGACAGGAATGAAAGAACCTGATTGCAGCCTTGTGTCCCGGTGTGGGATGAAAAGGACCACACACAAAACAAAAAGTAACTGCAGTTTGACAACATTGTTCTCTTTATAAAGCACATGAATCTGCTGGTGTGGCTGGCAGTTGTGTTTCTCTGTGATCGGATACACTAACCAACACTTAATGAGCTAACTCTACCAATAAAGATTATATACTACGCAATAGACAATTTCTCGTTCAATTCGTGATCTCACATATTACAGTATATGGATGGTATAGCTCAAACGTCAGCCACAAAAATCAAATCAAAATCAATCAACAATTAAATAATTTTCAGCTTGAATTTCTTATAGCTCTATATCAAAATTCCAGTCTTTGACAGAGAATATGGCATTGAGATACCCTTACTTCAGGAATTGCGTTAACCCCATATTTTGCTCCAATTATTGAAGAGGGACCCAGGGCAAGCTTGGGTCCAATCTCTAACTAAGTTATCCAGGGTCAAATTTCTATTTCTTAAAATTTTATAGGTGAGACTCGTCTTGCCGAGGCACTAGCGCAAACCCTGACTTACGTCATCAAAATTGACCATCATCAAATGTGTACGGAATCCCACATGATGTTTGGACGTTACTAAGATACTATGATCTTTGTTTGTCCTTTTTTTACATTCGATTTCACGCATAACACAAGATCTCGCAGTGAATTAGAAACGGTCTACTCTAGGTTTCCATTGTCCAGATGTAAAAGGAAATTATATCTGTAGAACTAGAATGTACTAAGACCATCGGTCACAGTACCTTTGATAAACAAATTTGACTGAGCTAATCAATAAGGGATAATTACTTTAAATTTTTACTGATTATTAGTACAGCTGGTAGTATCACAATATACATGTATATGATATCAATTATACCCTAGGTAAAATTCATGTTTTAATAAACAGACTTTAATTGGACTTAGTATCAAAAATCAGGTTGAGTCTCCTAGCTAATTACTCACTCAGCAGTATGAATTAGAGTACACTGTGTTCCAACCACAAAACATGTGGCTTTAGGGTTTGGATGAATGGACACTGTGTGTTCTATTCCTGTCATCAGCACATGTTAAAGAAGTCAGGCATTGCATGCATTCTGAGTAGCCATGCTGTATGGTGTGTCTGTAAATACACATAGACAGTTGTCCATGTCTTGACTCAGTTATGTTGACTTTGAAACAGCAGTCGCTAAGAACAAAGTTTTCATACAGAAACGTTGTAGTCATGGCAACACTACAAAAACTTTAAAATGTGGTACTCAAGCATGCATAAAATAATGTAAAATGGACCAAAATTTTGAAAAGTATAAAAGGAATTTCAAATTTTGTTGATTGCACCAGGGAATTATGGGACACCTTTATTAATATTGTTTACACTGTTAGACTGTCTGTTGTTGTTTTTTTACTAGGAACAGACTAGTTAATTAATAATTAAATGATTGACTTGATGGATGATTATTTAACTAATTGTTTTATTAATAATATTAGTCTTTGTTTTTATCAGTTATTATAATTATTTTTGTCAAATAAAGCTATATTTTATTTATTTCAGAAAAGTGAATTTTTTTTTTTTTTTTTAAATGTTTTTGTGCCCGGCGACAGTTTTGAACATTGAATGTCACTGGTGTCATTTTTTTTTATATGTGCAAGTTGCAAGTGCTGATATATAGTGCATTTTTGCCACAGAAGCCATATCCATGTTTTGGGACTACATGACAGGGTTGTGCGGCCAGCTTCCTATCAAATGGCAGTTTAATGCACTATCCTGACGTCAACTAGGCTCGGTCGAACACAGGCAACTGCGGACCTTAACTGAGGTTCCCCCAAAGTCGCATTCGTTAGTGAATGAATAATAACATCTTCAGAAATAGTTTTCATTGGTTGAATACAATACATGTTGAAATACAAGGCATATTAAAGAAAAATGTTAGTCATTGTCATTGCTATTTCTAATTCCAAATCTTATTAACTTGCCCTGAAAAATGAACTCTGAAATTACACATGACAACCATAGACTATTTAATTATCTCATTTCATGTGAAAAGTGAAAGAAAATTTGGTGGAAACCTGATACACCTTTCCATTTTTGGTGAACATTGACATTTTGAGAACACAATTTTATAACAGCTGAGACAACAACAGAAATGTGCTACTACCGGTCCGCCCCAAATACAGGTTGTACAAGGCTGGAAAGTTTGTTTGTAAATGCACACATTGCTACTTGACAGTATATGGTATGTCTTTTCACTTAGTAAATTAAACAGAGAAATCTATATAAAACACAGACAAATCTGAAAATTGTTGAGACATTACAAGTACATACAAGTGGGGTGTGTTTGGCTACACTAATCTTGCAATAAGTACCTGCTTTCATTATCCACCATACTATAAGCGGGTACAGTTTCTAAACAATTTATAAACATGTCAGCAGCGGAAATGTCAGACAAGTCCTGGGATGTTGTAAGGTAATTGGCTGTGGCAAGTTTCAACATAAAAGCTCCCTTGATCAATAATTTCCTTTTTTCTTGGAGTATCCTCAACAAGCACAAACTGTATTAGAAGCACATCCACTTCAATGTGTAAAAGTTCGTGTGATTTGAAGCAACAAAGCACAGTGTGATAAGTTTACGTCACCTTTAACCCTGAATATCACTAGCCTGGCAAGTTGACAGAATGTACTCATTTTTGTTTCCTCTGAGTAGGTAGCTGACTATGGGAAATAGAACATGCAATCCCATGATGCTCGGTGGACATGCTAACAATCATGTCACATCAGGTCTAAATTTGGTCTACCATTACTAGTGATTGAAATCACTGCTGGTGAAAATAAAACTTAAGTAAAACTTAAGAGCCTGGTGGTCTAGTAATGTTTTTCATGGTCTGCTTCAATTGAGGAGTTTCAGTTGAACACTATTCTCTTCTGAAACAATAATGGGAATTTTAATTTATTAATCTTTGTGATGCTACTTAGAATGGGAATTAATTACAAATATTTTAAAATGATTCCTAATACAAGGCTGGTAAAATTTAGAAATTACCTGCCCTGGCATTCAAAACACAATTTTGCTAAATTTCAATCACAGCTAATACTCAAATCCTACCAAACGAAAATATACAGTACAGTGTTCAAAAAACAAAACACAGTCAACAAAATTACTCAAGTGTGGGGGAAATGTACTAAATGTAGGTATTTGACAGTCAGGTGATGTTTTAGGGAAGTGATAATTCTTAAGGTCACAACAACCTGAATAATAAATCAACAAACCATGCACAATAAATTCATTGTACAGAGAACTATGGTGAGCTACTGGTACTTTAACATCATAAAGATTGGATTTATGAACCTACTTCAATACAGTGTTCTTTTTTTTTTTTAAATGCTGGCACATCTCACTAGCTCTGCATCACAAGACACATAGGGCGTAATTCATTGGATTCTCAATCATTTTAAGGATTTAGCCATTAACAGAGGAGAATAGCTGAACTAGAATAACACTTGGATGACCATGTTTTATGGAAAGTGACATTATTCTGTACTGATCTAGGGATATTAAGGTATACTTGGGTTAATAAGTATAATAGAATATTAATGAATATTGTAGGTGACATTATTCTGTACTGATCTAGGGATGTTAAGGTATACTTGGGTTAATAAGTATAACAGAATATTAATGAATATTGTAGATGACATTATTCTGTACTGATCTAGGGATGTTAAGGTATACTTAGGTTAATAAGTGGTAGAATATAAATGAATATGTAGGTGATATTATTCTACACTGATGTAAGGATGTTAAGGTATACTTGGGCTAATAAGTAAAGTAGAATATTACTGAATATTGTAGGTGACATTATTCTACACTGATCTAGGGATGTTATGGTATACTAGGGTTAATAAGTATAATAGAATATTAATGAACAGAAAATCTCACTGTAAATTTGATCAGTTGAATGAAAATGACAAATTAGTATTTAAACTGACCTGGAGTATTATATTTCCCAGCCCAAACAAAGTGTATTACGTCTGCATTAACCATCAAGTGAATGAGTAAGAAGATATTTCAAGCTTTGTAGCTAGGTATTTGTAAATGTGGTAC